TAAATTCAGCAGTTTCAATATGCAAAATAACTCTTTCTGCATATTGTGAGTCAGCAATTATATTAAGAGGTTCTTTAAAATCCCTAAGTACCATAAGGATGGCATATAATTCTGCCTTCTGGACAGAATCATAAGGACTTTGTTCCACTTTACTCAATTCTTCTGATTTGTAACCTGCTTTCCCTGATTTATTAGCATCGGTATAAAATGTACGGGTTCTGGTAATTGGAGCATCACAGACAATTCGAGGGAGGATCCAAGAAATTCTCTTTATAAAGTTAAGTTTCTTGCTTTTTGGGTAATTGTTATTGATTTCTCCCAAAAAATTAGCACAAGCTCTTTGCCATGGTTCATTGTCTTCCCACAACATTTTTGTCTGATCAGCAGTGAAAGGCACTATAATTTCTGCTGGGTCTATACCTGCTAATTGACGAAGTCTCAATTTTCCTTTTATAATCAATTCAGAGACTTTTTCCACATAAGTTTTTAATTTTTTACTTGGTTTGTGTGGTAAAAAGATCCATTCCAAGATAATATCATCTCTTTGTATCAAGATTCCTGTAGGAGAAATTCTGGAAGGCAATATGACGAGAATACAACTAAGCTTTGGATTTACCCTGTTCACATGTGCCTCCTGCAATTTTTCCTCAACCATTGTCAGTTCTTTTTCTGCTTCGGCTGTTAATTCTCTGGGACTGTTTAAGTCTTTATCACCATCTAAGGTCTTGTTTAAATGAATTATTAGATCAGGTGTTATCCCAACAGCCGGTTGTAGGCTGGAGATGTCTCCTAATAATCTTTGAAAGTCATTAAGAGTTTGTAACCGGTCGCTCCTGATTTGTGCCTTTTGAGTCTTAATTCTTTGTAAACCTATGTTATAACCTAAATAATTAACAGAATCTCCTCTCTGAATTTTTTCAGGAGCAATTTGCAATCCCCATTTAGGTAATACTATTTTTACTTCTTCAAACAGCCTTTCTACGGTGTCTTTGTTTTGATCAGATATCAAGATACCATCCATATAGAGGTATATTATGGACTTAGGAAATTGTTTGTGTATAATTTTCAATGGTTGGCTTACAAAATATTGGCACAGGGTGGGAGAGTTTAACATTCCCTGTGGGAGGACGGTCCACTGATACCTTCTTGCAGGCTGAGAGTTATTATAAGTAGGCACTGTGAAGGCAAACTTTTCTCTATCTTTTTCTTGTAATGGTATAGTAAAGAAACAATCTTTCAGATCGATCAATAACTATAAGAGGCCATCCCTTTGGTAACAGGGAGGGCAGAGGAATTCCAGATTGCAGAGGGCGCACAGGTTGAATAACCTTGTTGATAGCTCTAAGATCTGTCACCATTCTCCATTTACCAGATTTTTTCTTAACAACAAATACAGGAGAGTTCCAAGGGCTGGTATATTCTTCTATATGTCCAGCATCTAATTGCTCTTGTACCAGATGTTCTAAAGCCTGTAACTTTCCCTCAGCTAAAGGCCACTGTTTAGTACATATTGGTTTCTCAGTCAACCATTGTAGAGGCATGGCTGTTGGTACCTCTGAAGGGCCATCAATTGTGTTGTGTTCTTGTATAGCTCTAATGGCTGGTTTCTGCCATCTGTAATATCTTCTAATATTGTCCTCAGAAATATAGGCTCGGAAGCAGCAGGAATGTTAATTTGGGTATTCCATTGATGCAATAGGTCACGGCCCCATAAATTCACTGCAATATTTGCTACATATGGCCTTAGTTTTCCTATTTGTCCGTCTGGACCTATACAATTGACCCATCTCGTGCTTTGTCTTACTCGAGATAGGGTTCCAATTCCTAAGAACTGAATATCTACCTCCTGAAGAGGCCAATGTGGATGCCAAGATTCTGGAGTAATGATACTTACATCCGCACCTGTGTCCAGTAAGCCAGTAATAAATTTGCCATTTACACACACTCTTAGCTGTGGTCTTTGTTCATTATTAGAAGTCTGCCAGAATATTCATTTACTTTGTCCTCTTAGATTTCTTGATTCATTCACCACATTTAACTCATCCTTCAGGCCATTATTGCTTTTAACAGCAGGCATGGGGCATTCTAATTTCCCTGAAGAGGCATGTTCTCTGCAGTGATCGGAAATGACTGGACCACATTTGCCATGGGGGCCTTCGAGAGGCCCCCTATTGAGTTTCCTGATGGCAACGGGTTGCCCTGTTTATCTCTTGTTGACCTACACTCATTCATCCAATGCCTGCCCTTTCCACATCTCCGACATAAACCTGAAGGCTGAGTCCTCCTATTCCTGTTATTCCTAGAAGAGGCATTATTCCTGGAATTCCATTGTCTGCAGTCCCTTTTCATGTGTCCCATTTTGCCACAATGAAAGCATTTTGTAATCTGATGTCTCCTTTTACCTTTGGAAATTGCTTCTTGCACCCATGTTTCATTGCCATAATCAAATGTATCAACATTCATTGTATGTAAAACCCATTCATCCAAAGGTGTTGATCTGATCTTTAAAGGCCCCAGGATCCTTTTGCATTCTACATTAGCATTCTCATAAGCCAAAGACTCGATTACTATATTTCTTGCTTCTGGATCAGGTATCCCTATTTGTACAGCCTTAGTTAGTCTTTGAAAAAGTCACTAAAGGGTTCTCTCTGACCCTGTTTGACCCTGATATACGATTCTACTCTCTGACCTGAGTCTTGAACCCTGTCCTAGGCCCTTAGAGCTGCTGTAGCACATATGGATAAAATGTTTTCATCATAAAGAGCTTGTTCCTGAGGATCAGAGTAAAGTCCTTCCCCTAGAATTTGATCTAGAGAAATCTCAATTCCTTTTGCTGATTCTTGTTGTTGTAAAAGTCTGGCCTCTTGTTTGAATAGGCATTTGAAATGCCATAAAGGTCCATTCTCGAGGACAGCTGTCGTTAATTGATTCTAATCTTGGGAGGTGGCCCTGCTGCTCAGAGCCCAGGATTTTAACATCTCCCTAACAAAGGATGAATGTAGTCCATAATTCACAATTGCTCATTTAAATTCTTTCAGATAATTCATACGTATAAGCTCCCGTGTATGTTCTTTAATGACCTTAGGGTTTTGGAGCCGGTTATCTTTTCTGATGTTATTACTGGAAAGGCAGGTAAAACTCTATGTAGACTGAGAGTTTCTTGAGGTGAATGTTGCCTTTCTTCCTTTTGCTCCTGTTCATCAGAGTCTATGATTTCCTCAATCTTATTAAATCTGCTCACCTTTGCCTTCTGTAAGTCCTGAATCTCCTGTCCAGTATTATGCTCCAAAGCCTTCATTAACGATTCTAAGGCATGGAGCTTGTCCGTCAGAGACACCATTTCCTCCTTGGACACAGTCGCCTTCATTGATAATTCTAAGGTGTGGAGCTTGTCCGTTAGAGATACCATATCCTCCTTGGACATAATCCTCACAGCATGTACTGAGCCTTCTTGTATGGAAATCCTGTCAATTAATCTATCATACCCTTTTGATAAAGTCCGATTTTCACATTCAATGGTTATAATGTTTCAGCTAATGTTTCAGCACTTACAGTCATGGACTGGAGGTTATGAGTCATTTTGGTTGTCCCCTCCTCCAGAGCAGTGAAGTTCCCTTCTAAAGAAGCAATATCAGACTGTACCTTCTTGATATTTTGGTCAGTCAACCGAGTCATATCAGACAAAGATCTAGTCTCCTCCTTGAGAACTCCAAACTCTGATCTAGTCTCCTGCTTGAAAACTCCAAACTCTGATCTAGTCTCCTCCTTGAAAACTCCAAACTCTTTTTTGAGGAGGTTGGTGTCTGTCTGAATTGTCCTTAAGGTTTTAATCTCTGCCCTCAGCATTGCTGATTCAATCTTGAAGGACTGCATCGTCCTTATAAAATATCCAAACACCAGAAAAGCAACAAGTCTCAAAAATAACCAAGTAAGAGGAATATCAGAAACCTCATGGAGGATATCCTCCATGGCGCAATTAAAAAGGCCATTGAATTTTTGAATAGTAATATTTTCTGACATGTTCAATCAAAAGAAATTATATTTATTTATTTGTTTTCATCGGAAAAAAAATCTTACCTGTAATGACCCTTGCCTGTCAGTAAGTGGCGGGGTGCACCTGAATCCACATGGCAATGGCTCCGACCCAGAAAGATTCTGAAATATATATACACTCAAATCCAGAGGTTACTTTCAGGCTAGCAGCGCAAGCCAAACTCAGCTGGGGTTGCAGGGAATACACTGCCTGAGTGGGGGTAGAGTTTCCACTTGCCTGAGTTCCGTGGTGTTTGCAGAAGCCGGAAAGTCCCCGACCCAATTCTATTGAACGGAGCTGGGATCTAGTGCAGGCTTTACTGTAAAGGTCGTGGGGCTGACAAGGTGCTGTGTGCGCTCAGGCTGCTAGGCCTGCGCCACGAGGTGGGAAAAAGGGCCCACATCTGGGCACCAAATAATGGTGAATCAATCCCACACCAATTATGTTTTAAGGGGGTATTTATTTTGGGGGGTAAAACTTACATACACCATAAACCGTCAGGAAGGGAGCCTAGTCGCTGGAGCAGGAGCCAGGAGCAGGAGCCGGAACCAAGCGCTGGAACCAAGAGGGCCAAGCTGAGACTTGCGGCTCTTTTTAAAAGAGAAATATACCACGCCCCAGTGGGCTGGCATTTCAGCAGCTATTGGCTGACGGAGCGGAAGGTGCTCCTGCAGTCCTGTGGGCTCGTGCTTCAGCGACAATTGGGTGAAGCAGCGGAAGGTACTCCCGCAGCACCAGGGGTTGAGTTGATAGTTAAACAGGTAAGAATACATTCTGTTCTTGCAGAGGACCAAAGGTGATCTAGGTGAAGGAAGACAGAGATAGGAGTCTAGCTAGTTCGTCATCCAGACAAACTGTGAGTTCCAGGTCCATGAGTGACATTCTATCAAAAACTAAGATAAGCACAATAGAGGAAGACATCTGATGTTGACGTCTGACCTTCAGATTCACACATACACATCATACGTAAATATTTTCAGCTTTATTAACAATGATAGTCAAAAGGTAGAAACAACCCACCAAAATCCACAAACTGATAAATGAAGAAGTTCATTTGACAAATCAACATTGTACTAGCTGGTTTTGTGAGTCAACCTGTCACAAGCTAGAGTCCATGAGATCCGGCTGTAAGACATTTTCTCAATTAGTGATTAATGGGGGAGTGTCATCCCTGGGCTGGAAATCCTGGGTTCCTGAGCAAGGCAGGGGAAGCAAGCTAATAAGCAGCACCTTCCATGGCCTCTGTATCAGCTCCTGACTCCAGGATCATTTGAGTTCCTGTCTTGAATTCCTTCAGTGATGAAGCAATGTGCAAGTATATGCTAAATAAACCCCCCCCACACACACACTTGCTTTTTGGTCATGGTGTTTTGTTGCAGGTATAGGAACCCTAACGAAGACAAATACTGTGGGATGTCGTTTGTCTACGAAGAGGACCGATGCTGCAGCCAGGGAGGAAGACTGAACACATCTTCTGGATGAAAGAACTGATTTGTGAGAACTTGCACGCGTTACGATTTAATTTAAACAACATATCAAAACAGCCATTTCACAGAGAAAGAAAACCAATGCTCAACGCTAGAGTGGGGAAGAATGGGTAGTGGGAGTGAAAGCCAAAGAGTTTAGATGAATTGATTATAAATGTCACAAACATGACCAGGGCACCTGGTACAAAACTGTGACTCTCCACAATGAAAAAGAAGAACCTCTTGCATGGTTGCATGGTTGCATGGTTGCATGATTGCATGGGTCGCCTGAGTTCAGCTCCTGTCTGCGGTGACTTCAGCACTGTTGTTTCCCTGTGCCTTACTTCATCACAGGCCAAGGATGGCAGAAGTAGTCTTCACTTCCTGGGGCTGTGAAGGCTGAAAGAATAAATACAGATTAGAACAATGTCTAGAAACAAAAAATAAAAAGTGCTTTGTTGTCTATCCCAGCCAATATACAAATATCTTACTTTAATATATACTGAAGTATCAAGGATAAGGTATTTGCACAGATTATATATACAAACATATGACAAAACCTTTGAAGTTACTTTTTCCTTGAAATAATCTTTATTTATTTGAGACATGGTTTGAAGTAGCCTGCCTTGCCTTGAATTGTCTATGCACCTAGACCTTCAATTTATGATCCTCCTGCCTCCACCTCCCAGTGCTATAAGATTACAGGCCTGACTTGTATCCAGCTATTCTTGTAGTAATTTTAAGTATATCATATTCAATAATTTTAAATACATGAACAAACATTATTATGTTTATTTTTATAATTTATATTTTGCTCAATTTTCCCTCATTTATAAAAAATTATTGAGGGTCTGGAAAGATAGCTGAGTAGCTAAGTGCACACGTTGCTTTTGCAGAAGATCAGAGATTGGTTCCTGATGAGGTGGCCCACAGTTCAGGGTAACTCCAGCCCCGGGAGATCTAATGCCCTCTTGCATCTTCTTTGGACACTGCATGCACATACACAAACACACATACAGACCCATATATACAGAATTTACAAATAAAGAAAAATTGAAAATTTCTTCTGTTGTAACGTGGAATGCAGTACTATAGGTCAATTAGTAAAAACTTCTAAGACACAAATGGAGAAAGTTAGGGGAATACAATTAAAATTCGAGTCAGTTACAGAAGTAACTCAATACTCATACAAATCTAATCTAATAAGGTTAGTAGCACTTAGCACTTTTTTTAACTTTAAAAATAATACCAATCAAAATTCCCACTTCTTCCCCTCCTCCCACTTCTTTCCAGCTCCCTCCACAACTCTTCCCCGCACCCAACACTTCGCATTGTGTTGAGGAGGAAAATGAATGAGTCTCAGGAGTCAGACTCAGGTCAGACTTCCAACGTTATAGTTTTGTCACTAAATAGGCAGTATAATAGCACTTTTATAATATCTTTTTCATTCATGCATTGATTTTCCTCTTCAACACAATGCGAATAAAGCACAACAAGCTAAACTCTGTGTAATGAAGTAGTACCCTCACCAGAGTACAGCGAGGCAGGCAAACAGATAGTTAAATTCAGACCATGTAAGTATATGCAAACTTCGGGGGGGTTTCCCTTCTGGTAGCCAAGGCTTAACTTTCAACGCGAAAATTTCTTTCTAGTTTGACCCAAAGGGCTTCCCGTTGTACTGTCTCTAAGTGCGCATGCTCAGCCGCTAACCTTCGACATTTACTTCCTGCTGCCTTCACAATGGCGGCTCGTGGCGTGGGCATTTTGGCCCGTTTGCCCCTGCATTCCCAGAGAAGGAGCCGCGTCCAGCGTTCTATTCCCAGGCATTTCAGTTGTCCAGGGACTGTAGCCGCGAACTTCGGGAGCGAAGAGCAGCCTTTGGGCAGTGCAGAGACAGGTGCCAGGGACGGCCGAGGCGGGCGGAGGGCGAGCGGCGCGGGCCACGGGGCCGGACCCCGAGGCCTGGCGGAAAGCGAGCGGGGGGTTCGTCGCTGTGAAGACGATTCCCGCGCACAGCAGTGAGATGTTTAGACCGGGAACACAGTCGGCGAGTGTCTGTAGTTCAGCACAGAGCTCCTGTGCGGTGGTAGTAACAATGCTGGCACCTAGTGTCGTTTGCCCTACCCCTGGCCCCAGCGTAGCTTTTGGTAATCTGTATTAGGGTTACTAGTACTGTGATGAAAGACCGTGGCCAAAAGCGGCGTGGGAAGGAAAGGGTTTTTTTTTTTTTTTTGGACTTTTTTTTTCCCTCTCACTTCACTGAGGGAAGCCACGGCAGGAACTCAGACTGGTCGGAATCTGGACCATAAGATGATGCAGAGACCATGGAGGAGTACAGTTTCCTGGCTTGCTCACGGCTTGCGCAGTCTACTTTTTTGTTATTTTATGTTTTTTTAATGAATTTTTATGGAGCTCTACATTTTTCTCTGCTCCCATCCCTGCCTCTCCCCTCCCCTTTAACCCTCTCCCATGGTCCCCATGCTCCTAATTTGTTCAGGAAATATTGTCTTTTTCTACTTCCCATGTAGAGCAGATCTATGTATCCTGCTCTAGATACATATAAGCAATGTAAGTCCGTCATAAGAGGACTGCTCTTAGAGTCCTCATTGTTGTCTAGGTTCTCTGGGATTGTGATTTGTAGCCTGGTTTTCTTTGCTTTATGTTTAAACCAACTTATGAGTGAGTACATATGATAATTGTCTTTCTGTGTCTGTGTTACCTCATTCAAAATGATGTCTTCTAGCTCCATTCATTTGCCTGCAAATTACAAGATGTCATTATTTTTTTTTCTGCTGTGTGGTATTCCACTGTATAAGTACTACATTTTCTTTATCTATTTTTCGGTCCGGGGCATTTAGGTTGTTTCCAGGTCCTGGCTATGACAAACAATGCTGCTATGAACATAGTTGAGCACATATCCTTGTGGCACGATTGAGCATCCTTTGGATATATATCCAAAAGTGGTATTACTGGGTCTTGAGGAAGGTTGTTTCTTAATTTTATGAGAAATCACCACACTGACATCCAAAGGGACTGTACCAGCTTACATTCCCACCAGCAATGCTGTAGTGTTCTCTTTACCCCACAAACTCCCCAGCATAAGTTGTCATCAGTGTTTTGATCTTGGTTATTCTTACAGGTGTATGATGGAATCTCAGAGTTGTCTTGATTTGCACTTCTTTGATGACTGAGGATATTCAACATTTCCTTAAGTGTCTTTCAGCCATTTTAGATTCCTCTGTTGAGAGTTCTCTGTTTAGAGCTGTACTCCATTTTTTATTGGATTATTCGTTCTTTTGATGACAAATTTCTTGAGTTCTTTGCATATATTAGAGATCAGACCTCTGTCTGATGTGGGGTTGGTAAAGATCTTTTCCCTTTGTGTAGGCCGTCGTTTTGTCTTGTTGACCATGTCCTTTGCTTTACAGAAGCTTTTCAGTTTAAGGAGGTCCCATTTATTAATTGTTTCTCTCAGTGTCTGTGCTACTGGGGTTATATTTAGGAAGTGGTCTCCTGTGCCAATGAGTTCAAGTGTACTTCCCACTTTCTCTTCTGTGAGGTTCAGTGTGACTGTCTTTATGTTGAGATCTTTGATCCATTTGAACTTGTTTTTGTGCATGGTGATAGATACGGATCTATTTTCATTTTTATACATGTTGATATCCAGTTATGCCAGCACCATTTTTTTGAATATGCTTTCTTTTTTTCATCTTATGTTTTTTGCTTGTCTGTCAAAAATCAGGTGCTCTAAGGTGTGTGGGTTAATATCCGGGTCTTTGATTCTGATCCATTGGTCCGCCTGTCTGTTTTTATGCCAATACCAGGCTGTTTTCAGTACTGTAGCACTGTAGTAGAGTTTGAAGTCAGGGATTGTGATGCCTCCAGAAGTCCTTTTATTGTACAAGATTGTTTTGGCTATTCTGGATTTTTTGCTTTTCCATATGAAGTTGAGTATCATTCTTTCAAGGTTGTGAAGAATTTTGCTGGGCATTAAATTGAATCTCTAGATTGCTTTTCTTAAGATTGCCATTTTTACTATGTTAATTCTACCTACCCAACAGCATTTTCTGGTGTCTTCTTCAGTTTCTTTCTTCAGAGATTTAAAGTTCTTGTCATGCAAGACTTCCATTTGTTTAGTTAGAGTTACTCCGAGATATTTTATTCTATTTGTGGCTATTTTGAAGGGTGATTTCTCTGATTTCTTTCCCGGCCCATTGATCATTCATGTAAAGGAGGGCTACTGATTTTTTTTGAGTTAATCTTATATCCTGCTTTGTTACTGAAAGTGTTTATGAGTTGTAGAAGTAAGTTCCTTGATAAAATTTTTGGAGTCACTTATGTTAACTATCATTTCATCAGCAAATAGTGAGAGTTTCACTTCTTCCTTTTCAGTTTATATCCCCTTGATCTCCTTTGGTGTCTTATTGCTCTAGCTAGGACCTCAAGAACTCTATTGAATAGATATGGAGAGATTGAACAACCTTTTCTTGTTCCTGATTTCAGTGGGATCTCTGGGAGTTTCTCTCCATTTAGTTTGATGTTGGCTGTTGACTTGCTGTATATTTGCCTTTATTATATTTAGGTATGTTCCTTGTATCCCTGCTTTCTCCAAGACCTTTATTATGAAGGGTTGTTGTATTTTGTCAGAAGTTTTTCCTGGATCTAATGAGATGATCATGTGGTTTTTATTTTTCAGTTTGTTTATATGGTAGATTACGTTGACAGATTTTCGTATGTTGAACCATCCCTGCATCTCTGGGATGAAGCCAACTTGATCATGGTGGATGATGGTTCTGATGTGTTCTTGGATCCAATTTACAAGTATTTTGTTTAGTATTTTTACATGGATGTTCATGACTGAGATGGTCTGTAATTCTTTTTCTTAGTAATGTCTTTCTGTGGTTTGGGTGTCAGGGTAATTGTAGCCTCATAAAAAGAGTTTGGCAATGTTCCCTCTGTTTCTATTGTATAGAACAATTTGAGGAGTATTGATTTTAGTTCCTTTTTTAAAAATCTTGTAGAATTCTGAGCTGAAACCATTTGATCCTGGGCTTTTTATTTATTTTTTTTTATTTTTGGTTGGGGGACTTTTCGTGATTGTTGCTATTTCTTTAGCAGTTATGGGTCTGTTTAATTTGCTTATCTGGTATTGATTTAATTTCGGTAAGTGATATTCATCCAGAAAGTTGTCCATTTCTTTTTACTTTTCCAATTTTGTGGCATACAGGTTTTTAAAACTGACCTGATGATTCTCTGTATTTCCTCCATGCCTGTTGTTATGTCTTCTTTTTCCTTTGATTTTGTTAATTTGGATATTCTCTCTCTGCCTTTTGGTTAGTTTAGAAAAGGTTTGTCTATTTTGTTGATTTTTCTCGAAGAGCCAACTCTTTGTCTCATTGATTCTTTGTATTGTTTTCTTTGTTTCTATTTTGTTAATTTCTTATCTTAGTTTGATTATTTCTGCCTTCTAGCTCTCTTGGGTGACTTATATGAGCTTGTATGCAGCAGAAGGATGGATTCTGTTTTTGTATCCAGTGTGTTAGCCTGTGTCTTATTATAGGTGAGTTGAGTCCATTTATATTAAGGGATATTAATGACCAGTGATTGCTACCTCCTGTTAATTTAGTTTTCGTTGTTGGTGATGTTAATTTGTGTGTTTTTCCCTTCTTTGGGATTTGCTGATGTGAGATCATCAATTGTCTGTTTTTGTTGATATAGCCAACTTCCTTGGGTTGGCATTTTCTTTTTAGTACTTTGTTTAGGGCTAGATTTGTGGCTAGGTATTAATTAAGTCTGCTTTTGTCATGGAATATCTTGTTTTGTCCTTGTATGGTGATTGGAAGTTTTGCTGGGTATAGTAGTCTGAGCTGGCATCCGTGGTCTCTTGTCTGCATAACGCTTGACCAGGACCTTCTGACTTCCATTGTCTTCAATGAAAAGTCAGGTGTAATTCTGATAGGTCTGCCTTATATGTTACTTGGCCGTTTTCATTTGCAGCTTTAATATTCTTTCTTTATTCTATATGTTTAGTGTTTTGATTATTATGTGGTGGGGGAATTTTTTTTTTGATCCAGTCTATTTGGTGTTCTGTAAGCTTCTTGTATCTTCATAGGCATATCTTTCTTTAGGTTGGGAAAGTTTTATTCTATGATTTTGTTAAATATATTTTCTGTATTTCCTAGTTGAATTTCTCCTTCTATACCTCTTATTCTTTGGTTTGATATTTTCATGGTGTCCCATATTTTCTGGATATTTTGTGTTAAACTTTTGTTAGATTTAATGTTTTCTTTAACTGATGAGTCTATTTCCTATATTGTATCTTCAGTGCTTGAGATTCTCTCTTCCATCTCTTGTATTCTGCTGTTTATGCTTGCATTTGTGGTTCCGAATAGTTTTCTAATGGTTTCTGTTTCTATAATTCTCTTGGCTTATTTTTTTTTAATGGTCTCTTTTAGTTTTCAAGTCTTGAATAGTTTCTTTCATATATTTGATTGCTTTTTCTTGGTTTTCTTTAAGGGATTTGATGATGTCTTCCAATTTTTTGTTTGTTTTTTCATCCATTTCTTTGAGGAAATTTCTTATTTCCTTTTTAAGAGTCTCAAACATTCTCCTGAAGTTTTTTTTTTTTTTTAGGTCAT